TGTATGTATGTATGTATGTATGTATGTATGTATGTATGTATGTATGTATGTATGTATGTATGTATGTATGTATGTATGTAATGTATGTATGTATGTATGCATGTATGTATGTATGTATGTATGTCTGTAGGCATGCATGTATGTATGTATGTATGCATGTATGTATGTATGCATGTATGCATGTATGTGAGTATGTAAGTAAGTAAGTAAGTAAGTAAGTAAGTAAGTAAGTAAGTAAGTAAGTAAGTAAGTAAGTAAGTAAGTAAGTAAGTAAGTAAGTAAGTAAGTAAGTAAGTAAGTAAGTAAGTAAGTAAGTAAGTAAGTAAGTAATGAATGTAATGCATGTAATGTATGTACGTATGTATGTATGTGTGCATGCATGCATGCATGCATGTATGCTTACATACATGTATGCATGTATGTATGTACGTCATGTATGTATGTATGTAATGTCATGTAATGTCATGTAATGTAATGTAATGTAATGTACTGTAATGTATGTATGTATGTATGTATGTATCCTTGCACTTCCCCTTTGCTCCCCAGTATTTCCCGCAAAAAAACACGGTTTTTCCAGCGTTTTCGCAAAGAGGACGTCCAAAAACATTGAGTTTTTCCAGATTTTCGGCAAAAGGATGCAGGAAGCCCAAGCCAGCAAAAAAGCCGGCAGGGGGAATCGAGCCTGGGACCCCTGTTTTGCGACACCGGCTCCCCGAAGACTACGTTTAGTGGAACGTCATCAAATTGCCGCGCGGTACGTGGGGGACCCCCCCCCCCCCCCTTCCCCCCCCCCTCCCCCCCCCCCCCCCAAAAAAACCTACGTAATAGACGTCGGGCGGGGGGGGGTTAGGGGGGGGGTTATCCTCTATCCTCTAGTAAGTATCCGACACGCCGAGCAATGTCGGCGGACTTCTGAAGCTTGACCTCACAAAGCCCAAGGACCAATTCGTTCTTTTGCATGCATGCGTTTTTGCGAACATTGCGTATGCGCACTTCGCACCGCCACGCGCGACATCTTCAAGGGCGCCACCGTTCAGATCTGAACAGCACTGCATGGGCTTTCCATGGCTGCAGGGCCAGGACAGACAAAGAGTGCATTCAGCAAACGTGTTGTATGCCCTTACGTTGATTGCGGTGGCGCTGCTGGTTCACCGACGGGCAGTCGTCAGCGTGGAAGGGCCCAGCAGCTCATACATGTGGTTTGTCAAAAAGTCTCTTTGCAGCAAACACGCAGTTTTGCAACAGTCTTGGCATAGTCTGCAATCAAATGTTTTTGCGGCCTGCGTGCACGGTGGCACTTGTAATGAGCTCACAAATTGGCGAGGAACCAAGGGCGTTTTCGAAAACCTGCGAAAACTATGTGACGGGTGCCACCAGCATGCAGAGTGGACGCCATGTGCTGCTGCCAATGGCCAGCCTATGTTTCCACCAGCAGCAGAAACAACTCACCCCGACCTGTTGTGCCAGCGCGTCCGTCAGCTTGTTTTGCATGTTTGCCATTCAAGAGGGGCAATCATTGCAGATGCACACCTGGCAAACGCGCACTTGGTTCGTGGCCGTGCTTTTCGGCAAGCCGGGCAGCAGAAACTGCCCCCCTTGGTTGCAGAATACGCAGTGATCACAGACACTAAACCCTCAGACATGTCTATGGCCAAACAGTTGAACCATGTTCCTTTCTTGAAAAGGGGGGACGTTTCCTCAGGGAGCTGTGGTACCAAAGTGGAGGTGCAGGATGAACAGGCTGCCCTTTTTGGCATCTACATGTCTCCCATGAATTTTTCCTTGCTTTTCCTTTGCCTGACATCTTGATGACAAATGTGGCCAGGGTCCTGAACGATGGGCCCCAGCTCACAGTTGCCAGACGTAGGCTGCAAATCAAGAAGATTCAGAGGAGACGATTGCAGCTGCAAGCGCAAGAGCAAGAGCTGCACAACTCGCTTCGTCACGAAGTCGGGCTGGTCCTGAAAGGCAAGAATCTTCTTCTGTGGAAAGAGCTGATGCAGGAAACTGGATACAACGACTCTTCATTGTTCAATGAGGTGGTCAGGGGTTTCGAGTTGTGTGGGCAATCTCCTGTGAGCCAAGAGTTCCCCCACGGGTATGTCTCTGCGCAGCAATCGGTGGAAAGTTTGAAAGCCCAGGCGCTGTGGATGAGGAAAGCCTCAACGGGAAAATGCAGGTCGACTGGTGACAGGCAGCTTGACGAAGAGGTCTGGCTGAAAACACTCCGGGGTGGCTGCACGGCCCCTTCACAGAGGCGGAGGTCACCAAACATGTAGGTTCAGAATGTTGGCTCGCCACACGGAGGTTTCCTTTGCAGCAGAGGGATAAAGTGAGGCTCATAGATGACGGGCTGGCCTCAGGGCTGAACTCCGCATACGGCATTGGCAACAAGCTCAAATTACAAGATGTAGACGCCTTGATATCATTGGTGCTGTGCATTATGAAAGCTGCAGCAGGGGGCACGGTCCGACTCCACTTGTCTTGCGGTGAATGTGTTAAAGTCACCCCCTCTCCGGCTTGGCGAAGCAACTTCAAGCTCTTGGGGCGGACACTGGACTTGACGGCAGCCTACAAGCAACTGGCGGCATTCTGTCCTGACTCTTGGAACCGCCATATTGTGGTTCATGATCCGGACAGCAACGCCCCAGCTTTCTTCCGGGCAGCTGCTCTCATGTTTGGATCAACCTCTGCAGTCTACGGGTTCAACAGAGTAAGCAAGTCTCTATGGCACAGAGGCGCGCGCTTGCTTTCCCTCTGGCACACCTGCTATTTTGACGACTATCCATCAGTTGAACTAGAAGTTTCTTGCTCAGCCAGAGACTCTTTTGAGCAGCTGTTGGATTGTTTAGGCTGGAAATACGCCGTCGAGGGGCAGAAAGCAAAGGACTATGCTGGATCTTTCGACGTGCTAGGCATGACCTTGGATCTAGACCAGTGTGCGGCCGGCTCTCTCACCATCAAAAACAAGGCTAGCCGGGCGCAAGGCTTGTTGCAGGTGGCGGGGTCCCTCATACACCAAGGGAGCATACAGGAGGGCGTGGCCTCCTCACTTGCGGGCCAGCTCACCTTTGCTCAAGGCCAGTATGTCGGCGCAGCGCTCAAGCCCGTGACTGCTTTCTTGGCAGGCATAGCCCGGGATGGCTGGGAAGACAGCTTGCAAGACCAGTTGCACGATGCTATGTCTTGCTTATGCAAAATGTTGAGCATCCCCAAGCCGCGAGTTGTTTCCGTTCACGATTGCGAAACTCCAGTGGTTCTTTTCACAGATGGAGCATGGGAGCCAACTTCGGACAGACCCGCAGGAGCAGGTTGGGTCATCGTGGATCAGGTAAGCGAAGTTAGGTTGGTAGTTGAGCTGGAAATCCCCAGCTGCCTTGTTGGAGTTTGGAAGAAGTCGGGCAGGTCGCAGCTCATAGCAGAACTGGAGCTGCTGCCAGTCCTGGCAGCCATCTTGCATCATAAGGACTTGGTGGCGACGCGGAGGGTTCTGCTTTTTGTGGACAATAACGCAGTGCGGGATTGCTTGATCAAGGCCGGCTCCAGATCCCCAACTCTGTTTGCAATGTTGTCACAGATTTTTCAGGCAGTAGCAGATCTGAGCAGTCTTTTGTGGGTGTCCAGAGTGCCGAGCAAATCTAACATTGCGGACTTGCCCAGCAGGGGACAGGCAGAGCAGGCAGCAGGCTTGATCAAAGGAACTGTGCAGAGCTCTCCAGACCTGAGCTGCGAATTGTTGCAGCTGCTCTCCAGCTCAATTTCGTTCGCGTCGTATTTGGCAGCAGATGGCAAGGCGCTGAAAGGAAAAGGGGGAGAGATCGCTTGAACCATTGCTTGTACATTGTGACGGCCCAGGTAGGTCCATTGTGAAACAATTGTGTGTCATCTCCCCTTTTAAGTTGCCAGAAGCATTGTTTCTGTGCTTCCTTGAAAAGGCGCAAATAAGTACGATTGTTTTTGTAGGCTTGATTGTTTTGTGCAACCACATCCCTTACGTCTGAGGACGGAAAAGGCAGCGTGCAGTTCGGTGTCTGCGACATGATGCTCATGGCTGATCATGTACCGTTGTCTCTCTAGGGTTTGGCTTAAAGGATGATGCCGTTCAACTTGTTGAGAGGCTTATCCTTTCAGAACAAACCCTTGAGCTTTGTTTTGCTTGTTGGGTTGCTTTGTCAGGAATTGAAACCAGACGAGTCACATGTCCAAAGAGGGCAAGATATGTCCCTGCCAGAGTGTGTGGCTCAGGGCGAGGTAGGGTGGGAGCGCCAGACTTTTTGTTTTTCACTCCCGCCCGCCCAAGCCCACAATTGTCCGGCATCATTCATTGTCCGGCATTGTGCCAATTGAGGTTGTTTCATTGTTGTCAGCCTACAGGCTGCAGTCGTGCCTCACGCATATTGTCGCAATGGTGCACTGTCTGGCGCTTTGCGCATTGTCTGGCGCTTTGCGCATTGTCTGGCGCTTTGTGTATTGTGGAGAGATCGCTTGAACCATTGCTTGTACATTGTGACGGCCCAGGTAGGTCCATTGTGAAAGAATTGTGTGTCGTCTCCCCTTGTAAGTTGCCAGAAGCATTGTTTCTGTGCTTCCTTGAAAAGGCGCAAATAAGTACGATTGTTTTTGTAGGCTTGATTGTTTTGTGCAACTACATCCCTTACGTCTGAGGACGGAAAAGGCAGCGTGCAGTTCGGTGTCTGCTCATGATGCTCATGGCTGATCATGTACCGTTGTCTCTCTAGGGTTTGGCTTAAAGGATTAACCGCTATTTTGAGAAACCCAGACCAGGGTCGGCTCCGATTTTCAGGGACCCGGTCTTGGGGTCACTGGATGTGCTGCTGATGGATAGCTTAAACAGGGGTCTGTTTCTTTTTGGGTCACCTTTCTTTGTGTACAGAGAAACCAAAAGCAACACCCACCCAGTTTGGAGGGGTCCGATTCCTAAAAAACAGAGACACCAACAGCATGGCCTTTTGCTGTGGTTCTCAAGGGCCTTTCCACAGGACGAAGACAGCGACGACCCGCGCACGGAGCAGGTGAGCGTTTTCGGAGACGTTGGGTTGAGGGCCTTTCAACCGGGGTCCTTCCAAATTGGGTTGAGAGTATGTTTGATTTTCCGCCTGCTGGTTTTGAAGGGAATCTATCACGACTGGAAGCATGTTTGTTTTGTTCCAGGGACTCAAGGAAATGGAGGTAAAGGGTACGTTTGGACTATTCAATAAGAACACATTTGAGGAAGTGGTTTTGCCAGGATCAAATTGGGATCATAACAATGCCCGCCCGGCTATGAATTTTCAAAGTTGGAACCACCTCAAAAGTGGTCGTGAACATGAATCCTCACAATGATGTTAAGGAAAGGGTCCTACAATTAACACCCACATTTGGGGCCACTTTTCCAGAATCAAACACCAGCTGATTTGCCTGAGCCCGCCTTGAGGCCGGTTCTCTTATATGGCCCTAGCTGTGAAATTTCGTGGTTGGAACACTCTCCCAAATGTTTGGTGGGCATCCTCCGAATTCCACTGTCCACCAAATAAAAATTGCATACCCACATAGATAAAAGGCCCCTGTTTTTCCAAGCAGGCTTCCCCTGCAAAACAAGCAAGGTTTCGACCCATACAATGCAGGAGTTCCTGTTTTCCGGTTGTTTCGAGTGAGGTTTGTTTGAAAACTCCTCTACAGATTTATTGGAGATGGTACCCACCTGAACCAAGTGTTCTGCGGTTCCCAATCAATCCTGCTGCGCACGGGAGTCGGTATCTGTTTGGATTGTCTTAAACCAGGTGTGGCTTATTTAGGTTGTTACAACTGGCAGGTCCTGGGTTTGAACCATTTTCCTTACTTGCCCTAGTCACCATAGGAAAGACAAGAACGCCTCAGCTTTTGTTTGTTTGGGGGAGGGGGGGAGGAAGTTGTTTGTTTTGTTTGTTGTTGTGTTTTTAACGGGCCGTGGGAAGTCCACAGCGCCTCACTAAAAATTTGGGAACCTCAAACTTTGAGGTTCCAAAACAGAAACTACTGGGCTTCTTGGCGCAGCCAGGGGAAGTAGTTGCATCGCTTGCATCCGGCTTTGGATCAAGGGCGACAGCGGTGCTTCTGGTTTAAGCTCCAGCAGTTCCGGAATCACTTGCACGTGAAATTGGGATTAGATGGCACAAAGCCAGCGAAGGAGGGTACAAGTGTGCATACGCATGTACATGTACACATGCATATGATGCATAGCGCATTACGCACTGTACATGCGCACACGCGCATCATGCATAAACACATCAATTATTGCTAGCTGACACACATACATGCAGACATGTATCATGGTGCACATGTGCATACGCCGACATTTTGTTACATGGCGTAGTCCCCATTGTGTATCAGTTCATGGGTAGATGTTGGGCGGAATGTGTTTAAAAAACTGGTCAGGAACCAAAGGGGTTGCGAATCAGTGCTGGGTAAAGGTTGTTTAACCATAGCCTGCCCCTAAGCAAAACCAAAAAGAGGTCGCTTAAACATGTTAACCATGGCTTAAACGGGGGTTGGATTGCCCAAACCCGGCACCCTCATGGCAAAATGGCCCAAATCCTGTAGAGGTGAAAAAGCAGCGTGCCCTTTTTTCCCATGGACAGCTTTGGGGAGTGGTGCAAGTTATGTTTATGTTTTTTCCCTCAGGAGAACCTCCCCTTGATTGGTGGTTTGGATTGGTGGTTTGGGGATTTGAACCCCTGGTTCTTGCGGAGGGTAACTGGGAAACCCCTCCTTGACGACCCAACCACCAATCCAAACCACCAATGAGAGGAAAGCTGACTAACCGTTCCCCCAAAAAAACGCAGGGTCATTTCCAGTTCGATCAAGGTTCTCGCTCGGTTGCCACGCTCAGCTCTTTTCAGGAGCAGATCATTGATACGCGGAGCCTCTTGAAGGACCAGGCGAAGGCGGCAGGGCTTTTTCTCGGGGGCTGGCTGCTCGACCTGACAGCAAATCGTTGCTCTTTACCCCTGATGAACCCCCCCCAGCGCTCAAGGTCGACAAGGTATTGGCTATCGAGAGGGGGGCAAGAGGACAGTTTTTTTCAGTTGTTTGTTTGTTTTTCTTTTCAAGGGGGGTTTATTAATCAGGTGTCAACCTTGTTTGTCATACCCAATGATGTCCGCCACAGGCTTCCCGCTTGTTTGAGGCTTGATCAACAGTGCCCAGTTTTTCCCACATGCTGAAATAGTGCCAAACACTTGTTGTTTGTTGCTGTTTCTTCCTGTAATTTGCGCGAAATCGGCCCTGGCCTCTCTTTGCCCCTTTGCCAGGACCCCCACCAAACCTCTCTTTCCATGTTCAAATCCCCAAGTGCTGTCCAATAAAGGGGGGAAGTTGGTGCCTTCGCTTCCGCGCAGGAGGCGATTTCCACCATGACAAAGGCCATGGAGGACGCCAACGCGTCTCGGCAGTCATTGGAGCGCGATTGTGGGTGGTAAACGTCGCAAAGGCGCATGAAGGTCCTTAGGTTGGGTATCCCGTATGTGAGATGTTGGAAGAATTTTGCAAATTTTGCAGATGTGTTCTTTGTTTAATCAAGGTGAAAACCGATCCCCAACAACTGCTCATATTCAGAGGAATCTCCTTTGAGCACCTTTGCGGTTTCTTGTTAATTTGTGGGTTGTGCTCCATTTGATATGTTCGGATGGGCATCGTGGACACTGGAGGCTGATTCACGGTCAACCGACCGGTGAACAAGTAAATTAGGGCTTCATTCCAAGTAGCGGGAATTGAATCTGAAACTAGGGGAAAACCAGTGCAGAGGCACGGATTCGCGCTCTGACATTTGGTCAAGTTTGTTGATCCCTCCCCCGAACAAAGCAAAGAATGGTCCCCAATGTTGTTTACACATTCCCTGTGGAAAGACTATGTTGTTGAACCATTGTGCTGGTTGTTTTGCTTCTGCGACACAGAACTGTGGGCCACAGTACGCCTGAGGAAATGTGGGCCACAGTACGCCTGCGCATTGATCTGATGAGGAGCTCATGTCGGAATTCTCGGGGGGTGGGGTTGCTTGCTCGAGGCGCTGGAAGAAGCAGATTCGCTACCTGAGGCTTCTGTTTTGGCTGGGGGGGGTTGTGAGGTCTCACTGTTTTGACGCATACCAGGATCAGAGCTGTTGAGGATCGAAATCCAGCAGGCTAGTTTATCCCAATGTGCCGCAATTGTAAACGCTTCACGTTGCCCGCCTCGGCCAGTATGATTTTGGCTGGCTTTGAGGTGCTGTGTCTTGGTTTGCCTTGAGGTGTGGTGTTTGTTTGAGTGAGTGAGTCGGCACAGGCATGCGGGATAGAGGGTGGGTGCAAGTTCGCGCGTTTCCACATGGCTTCAAGGGCTTCAACGAGAGACGCAGAGAGTTACAGAAGGGTAGTGGACTGGGGCCAAGCGAGGGCCTGGGCTGAGGAGGGAAGAGAACAACTTGGTTGGAGCCTGCCTAGGGGAGTTGACGGCTTTCCAGGAAAATCTGCAGGTGGTTGGGCCGAGCTTTAATTAGGGGTTTGGCCAGCGCACACGTCAACGCCAGGAGCTTCACCATGTCCAAGTGCCAGGCCGCGTGCCGAAGGGGGGGGTTCTTCGAGTCCACAGAGTCACACCAGACCAAGCGTTCACCCGTCGCATCTCGCATGTTGCCAGGGTGCCTCTTCCTTGATGGCGGCGGGAAAGCGGGTGGTGGTTCAAGTACATTGGGAACCTGTTTTGTTGGATGGCTTCAAGGGCCAAAATACCCAGTAAGAAATGGCGGTCATTCCCGTGTCAGTTGGGAACACTATAACGTTCCTGGAGAAGATAGATTTTTTGGGGGGAAAGTCAGGGCGTGCAAAACCGGAGCGCCGCGGCAAGATAGAAACCCTTCCACAATAAGATAGATTTTTTTGGGAGAAGCCGGGCAGACTTGCAAAGCGACGTGCTCCGAATAGGAAAGTAGTATTCGAGATTCAATTTTTAGTATGGGTCATAGTACTGGCAATGCCACATCTAGCGCTGGCAATACTGAATCAAGTACTGGGAATGGTAAATTTATTACTGGCAATTTAATGTACTACATTTAGCACAGGCAATGCCACATTTAGTACTAGCAATGCAGAATTATGTGCCGGCAATACTAAATTTAGTGCTGGCAATACTACATTTAGTGCTGGCAATACTACATTTGTTCTGGCGATACTAAATTTAGTACAGGAAAAACTAAAATTAGAACTGGCAATGCTAGCAAGACTACATTAGTACAGGCAATACTCAATTCAGTACTGGCAATACTAAGCTCAACACCGGCAAAGCTGAATTGAGTACTGTCAATTCGAAATTTTGCATGGGCATACTAAATTAAATACTGACATTGCTATCTTGATTGAACGCCCAGTCAAAAGTTTCTATCTTTCTGTGGGGCCCGTATTTTGTAGGGTCTGCAGCAAGATAGAAACTTTTGCACGCCCAAGGAGTCATGTTGTCACCCTGGGAGGTGCCCTGCGCGGTTGACTAGTTAGTTTGGTTTGGATTGTCTTCTCTTTGCTCTGATGGAGCATATTGATTTCCAGAGATTGGCACACATTCATGAACGTTGGCCTGAGAAGCAAATTTGATGATTATATGCACCACATGCTGGTCTGAGAAGCATACTCACAGAATGATGGGTTTGACAATTCCGACATTCGCGTTCGACAATTGATGCGGGAGCAAATCATACCAAATCATGGTCACAAATGAACATCCTCAAAATGGCATACATTTGGCCCCAAGATTTGTCAAAGTTGGTGACAGTAAGTTACGTATCTTTTCACGGCACCACCTGGGCCTCGCGCTGTCACCGACTTCTCCGCTGGGCATCGCCGGGTGCCACAGGTTGAATTTGGATGTGGTAAGATAGATGTTACTCCGGGGCGTGGCCGTCCTTTGGTACCGCTTCTTGCTTTTGGGGCTCGAATTGGAGCCCCTGGCACAGGGAGGTGGCATGGTTGGGCCAGGCAAAAACCGGGATTGCTTCGGAAGGGCGGTCAAAAGTTTCTATCTTTCTGGGGGGGCCCGCATTTTACAGGGTCTGCAGCAAGATAAACAGTTTTGCCATGTACGAGGAATTGAGTTTCTAGAATCGTTTGCATGTCCCAGGAGTTACATGTACATATGTCTGAAGACCGTTTTGTTGTCATTACCCTGGAATGCCCAGACAAAAGTTTCTATCTTTCTGCGGGGCCCGTATTTTACAGTGCCTGCGGCAAGATAGAAACTTTTGTAGCTTTCACGCCCGAGCCTTTCTTGTTGAAGCTTCTTGTGTTTTGTCCAGTTTGAAGGTCTTTCTCAAATGTGTCCCTTCTGAAGGATTCTGGGCAAAGCAAGCCTGTCTTACCAAAGTTGGAGGGTTTCGCACAACCCCTGGGTTCTGCATTGAAGCTTGATCTTTTCAATGTTGTCTATTTTGCAGTTTTTGTCTAAAATCGCAAATCCTGAGCTCGAAGTTTCAAGGTTGGCTGTCGTTGTTTGTTTGGCAGGGCATGTGTGCAGCGACACGAAGTTTTGCAGAAAGATAACAACTTTTACGTAACCTGATCACCTGTTTCGCACGGCGGACTTGTTGGGCTTGCTTGCGAAAGGCTAGCTCCTGGAATCAGGAACTATCAGGAACTTGTGTTTCTTGTGTATGTATCGTGTTTGTTGTTCTGGGGAGTCGTGGTGACGGCTTTTGAGAGCCCTTAGCCTCCGTTTCCAATTCCTTAATGTCGGATTGGCTGATGCGCCAACGCCTAAGACTGGCAGAGGAATGTTGTGCAACGCGACGCACAGAGCCCGAAGGCCATTTGCCTCAGGGCCATGAACTCGTAGTTCGCCCAGCTTACTAACCCTGAGCATCGGATATTGAATAGGATCAATATATTGAAATGGGTTTTACTTCAAAAATTTGAAGCCCTTTTCTGAAGCTTAATTTCAATATTGTCACCATCTGGGAAAACCCTTCAGATTCAATAACAAAATCAATATTTTGCAGCCTGAAAATCAATATTTTTCTGTTCTTACAGAACCAAAAGCAGCCTTATGAAACCTCATGAAGCTGCATGTTGTCAACCTCCAAGGGCTCCAGACCAATGTTTTCAGAAAGCCCCATGCTCACTGAATGGGTAATTTCGGAAATTTTGCTTACATAGTCTTCTGCAAGAAAGCACCAATGAGTTTTGGGGTTTAAGAACTTTGCACCTTTTGCAAGGTGCAGCAGGCTGTGGGGCTTGTTTACTATGTGAAAGTAGAGCCTGTCCTTGCTGCTGGCCACAAAACCCTTTTGCAAGGGCCATAGTTTTTTCAAACTCTGACAGGTGACAGGAAAATGCCAGCAGTGTCCCAGAGAGCAACCACGTCACAATGCGCTGCAAACATGTGAGCATATGAGCATGCTCTTCTCTCTTACCATCAAGCAAACACTTCAAGACTTGTAAAAGGGGCTGGTGCAAGATGCTTGCCTTCTCCTCCTTTGCAGTTAAGGCTTGCCCACTCAGACCAGGGGCTCTCGGGGTTGCAAAACAAAGTTGGTCATTCTGCAAGACTGGCTGGAGTAATTTGCTTGGATTTGCTGAAACACGATCCCTAGCCTTTCAGAAGGCTGCTTCCTTTGCACACCATCATCATAAAAACAAACATATTGTAAAAGAGATCCTAGTAAATGAGAATAGATGCCCTTGCAAAAACGGATGTGGAGTGGGTCCCCTCTCACCATTTTTGTAGTAATTTTGACACACTAAATATTGGATGTTCTGAGCTTTTGTGAGCTGAAGCAGTGGCATTTGTGACACCCTCAAAAAGGCCAAAGTTGGTCAGGCAAGTGTAAGGCTTGTCACCAGCTTTGTTTGTTGCGTTGCATTCCCAGCATGGCCTGTGGTTGCGCCAGTGAGGCAGCTTCAGCACATGACTAAAGTATTCATGGTCACCCTGCAGGGCCCACAAAACACCTTTCCACCCCATGGCCAGTGGCTGGCCCATCTTGGCAAAGAAGGGGCTCTCTTTTGCAAGAGGTGCACCATCAGGGTCAAAGCTAGGATGGCATGTCACCCACTTCCAAATAGATGCCCATGTTTCTTTGGTGGTGCAAGACTTTGGAAAGGCAGCCAACTGCATGTGGGTGTCAAGAGAGTTTTCCATAGTGAGCAGGGCCCCAAAGCTGAACACCAACAGGGTGTCTCTTGATTGAAATTCAGCGCTGCAAAGAGCTGCGGCCCATCACGGTGTCGGAGGGGGCTGCTGCCAAGCTTAATTATGCCATGATTGCTGGACAAACCTTTGCGAGAGCATGGACAACTTGGTGATTGTTCATTGTTCACACCACTCTGAAATGGTATTTGCTGAAATAGCCAGACGAAGAAGCTGTTGCTCCTTTTTTTGCGCAAGTTCGTGCCCAGAGCTGCAATATACTCAGAAATATTTGTAATCATATGTGTGCATATACGGTTGTATGCACGAT